TGTTTTTATTTATTCAAATACAAAAAATTATAGAATAATTGTTGGTATTTCCATTAGGAGGATATAATGACTTTTGGAGCACAAAATGACAAAATCGTCGCCAACACTTTTCCAATATGACGCAAATGTATGATGTCAGATACTGTCCAATGTCCAATGCATTGAAACGAATCACCATCGATTCGACGTCGATTTATGACGTCATTTGCATTGGCCAGTACACTGGGTTCTATTTTGGAACATACCTTTACACACACTTCAAGCAGGTTCTGCACAACATCAAGCTTCGGGACCCACACCTACGTCACGGTGACCGAGTGAAGCCGGCCACAGTCGAGCGTGTGTCTGCTGCACTACCATATGTCAGAGGTGACACAGACAAGATTGGCTACATCTCGAAGCAAGCTTCTATACTGGATACTGGAAGCTACGTTCTACAAACTGCCGAAGAACATTAGTCAATTCTTACCATCCGTCGAGTGTCATATTTCTCTACAAGATGCAAGTGTGCACAACCTTGATTGTGAATGCGATGTATCTCATATAGGTCAAGCAAAAAGAGCAATTAGAACCCGCGTAAAAGAACATATAGCTGACCTGAAGCATCAACGTTTCGGGAAGTCTGCATTTTGTGATCATATGCTAGATGGCCCCAACCATTACATCAGATTTGATAGACCACAAATTTTCACGAAAGAACATCGATTCCTACCAAGGATGATACGTGAGGCTCTTGAAATTAAAAAACATCCTAATTTCAATAAAGAAGGAGGCTGGGTACCACCAACTGCTAGGGACTCTGCTGGTAATGAGTAAAGTTAAAACTAAACCTAAGCATACCATTGCAAGACTTCAAGACACAGTTAGTTCATTTTGCGTAGATCGGACCGTAAGTAATAATTAAAAAGCTAAAGGTACTCCGGGTTAATACAGACATCGGGACGTCAGTCACCTCAGTACCCCGTGACCATGGGTGCTGGAAAGGACCCGAAACGTCAGGATTTAATAAAAAATAAAATTAACATTAGAGATTTATTAAAGTAGATTAATTGGGACTTACATTAAGGAGTTTAAAATTACGTGGCTATATATATACATTATCATATAGTTAATCCTGCGCCTGATCTCTCTCCGGTCGCATCGGTTTTCCGTCCCGTAGGACTATGAGAGTGAGGAAATAGAGAGTGCATCTTTCTGTACTTTTGCATACACTCGCGTACTATAATCATGCCCTCCACAGATAGCTAGAAATAAAAATTAAGTAAATTAAACGCGATCAAATCTGTAAAAGTAGTTTTTATCAATATTTTGAGGGTAATAAAGAATTTTCAACCTATGCGTGTAATATTTCATTTTTCAGTTGCAAAAGTCATGAACAACATTTTTTTTAATTTCATTAGAATACTTTTTACAGAAGTAAGGTTGACAAATGAGGACAAGGTAAACATTTAATCATCTAAATTTAATTAAAAATCAAAATGTTATCGTTGTCATCCCAGAGGAGTTTAACGATGGGGAGGCTATTATTTAAAAATGCCCACTCACATTTTATTTTCTTTTTAATACGATAATGAGTGTGGAGAATCCGGAGACCCTTTTTACTGGAAACGACGTATCCCATTTTAGTCCTCAGGGCTCACAACACATCTTTTTTTTTAAATTGAGTGAATGAAAACGACTTTTTTTAAATCGAGTATAGATGTAGATATCAACAAAACCTTATTCAATAAAAACGCCGCGATTTTTGAATGATACGAGTACATATATCACTCACGTCTGTCACCCAGAGGGGTGAGCCGAGACTACCGACTTCCATTTGGCACGATCCTGGTACACCTATCTCACCTTCTTTACATCCGTATACTTACGCATATATCATCGCTCATCGGTTAGGGATACATCTAATCTGGCCCATTTTCAATATATCGCCAATTGTTTTTTAATAACAATATACGACAAAAATGCCGCACATTAATGCTACAAATAATATTGTAAAAGAGGTAGAGACATGTTGTGGCCTATTATGGATTAAGCAGAAACGTGTGTTGCATGTGTTTCTCTCTCTTTCTCTCTCTCTCTCTCTCTCTCTGTGTGTGTGTGTTTGTTCCAAAAGTACGGTTCAATTGGACTAGGATCACCCTCGCCCAGAATACTACAGTGAAACCGCAGAATGATGTTGTTTTTTCGTATACTAAGTTTTGAGAAGTGGAAGTGGTAGTTATAGGTCTGAGCACCAGCATCCACTTACCATCAGGTGGACTGTGTGCTCGTTTGTCAGACTTACTTCCATGATAAGCATAAACTATAGCAGTAACTAAATAAACACTACTGCGTAAAATAGATTACCCTACTTCTGGGATGGTCGGGTAGAAAACAGTTTTCATTGAAATTGACTGAACAAATTACCTAAGTTTTTATAGCCAGGGATTATTTTAATAACGTTCTGCTTTATAAACTAAGAAGATTGGTTATAAGATTCCTCCAACTTTGTCACTTGATTGAATAAAAACATTGACAAAATCGATCTCATATCTAATCTCTATTAATACTGCGGGCCATTGATCGAATCTATAATAGCGCAGCCGTCAGATAAAAAAAACACAAGATATTTTAAATTGCAATAGCCTCGATTTTGAGTGCGTGCCGAGATTTACGATATCAAATCATATTGAGTTTAATAAAAAATGTAATTCGAGGAAAGACTTTTTAATCATGCCTATACAGAGCTTTAGAATTTTAATGTTTTTTTTTTCTTTAAAAAAAGTACACGATTTAACCCATTATGTAAATTCAAGTTTGTAGTGGCGTTGAAATAATATCCACTATATATCTAAACAACAGAATAAAACTTTAAATTAACTTTAAATTACAACGAAAACGAAACATTCTTAGAAACAATTATTTAACTTGTTATTCATAATTAATAATTTACCAAATACCACACCTCGACATACATACACAACTAACACCTACAGATATTTTATATTTAATTACAAAAATAGGTACATAAGTTTTACCGTAAGTCAAAAATCTATGTGTTACTCAAGTTCTAAACACTAATTTATATAAATGAAATACTAATAATAATATAGAGCTTTACTTAACTTAAAAGAAGTGTTCCAAAAATGTATTTAATTTTGAGTATTAAGTAGATTTCAGACTACGCTATAATATAATAGCATATAGTATATAGCTCACAGCACAACGATACCGCGCACCATACGTTGTTATGGACACGTTCACACTGTACTATATACACAATGTACTATATATTATTGACTTTGTATGGTGGACTATATATACTATATGCTTTATATTATAGCGTAGTCTGAAATCTACTTTACTGGAGCAAAAATAAAGATTACTGAATTTTCTTGAAACCCGTGGGTGTCGTAGGAGGCGACAGAGCGAAACAAATATGAGATGAGCAGCAGAATGTCCGCGATAACAACTTAAAGTAGTGAAAAAATTGTTGCCAACGGGCAATATACGATAGCTGCCAAGCTATAGCAAAATCGCCAAAAGATGAGTCATGTGTTCAGTACTGCACTTTTATAAGTTGTAATCTTGTAATGGATGACTTAGTAAGCCCAGTTAGAGAACTTGCAGTCCATTTGACCGTAAGTGGCTACTGCAGTTAACGGACACCTGCAGCTGCACCGTTTTTACGTGGTAGAGGCACGCCGCAGCTATATTATGGTTGTAGCATGAATGGGTCAGCTCAACCGGGGAAGGACCACTCTCACAGAATACCGGCGTAAAATAGTAGCTTAATACGGCTGTGTTTCTTATGGTGATTATAGAGATCCGGAGACCCCTTTTTACTGGAAACGAGGCATTCTATCTTAGTCCTCAGAGGTGACAACGCATCTGCGTTTTGATTCTTAATCGAGTATAAATGTAGATGTCTATGGGCCACAGCATCCACTTACTATCAGGTGACCTGTGTGCTAGTTTGTAACCCCTATTCTATAAAAAAAATGTGTGAGAAGTGTCTCCGACAATGCTGTTTGTAGCACTTTTTATACGTTATAGAACCACGGCGACGCACATTTCGGTTCGATCAAAGAAAGACCATACACTTAGAGACACAGTGAATGCAATGTTCTACAAAAGTATAGATCTTTATTTTATGGCTATTTATTATAAATAAGCCACAATAAGTTATTGTATGACAAAAAATTATTGAATACAAAAAGTGAGTTATGAGCGCTAGTATTATTAGATATCGTATATTAATTCATATAAACGAAAATTACCTCATCATTATGGCAATTTTATAGAAATAAAATTTACTCCATACAGCATGTTGTTTGGCCGCGTAGTTTGAGAGAATGAAAAATTAAAATATTTCAACAGTCGACTCGTCGCGCGAACGACGCGTAAGTCTAGCCGATGTAGGCGAGGTATCTTTGTGCCTTTACATATACCACGTGCTCGGCGGTGAAGGAAAACTTCGTGAGGAAACATACATGTCTGACAAAATAATATTTCGAAGTAACTTCCTTGGCCTAAAACCCTCTCAGAAGTGAAGGGATGCCTGTGCCCACCCGTGGGACGTATATAGGCACTTTAACTTTAACTTTTAGTGAGGTGTCATGTCGCGGGGCTCAGACGCGTGATATACGCGAGTGAAATCGCGAAGCAAAGCTATTCTATAATATCTTAGTCTTCAGAAGTGACGACACATCTGCATTTTGATTCTACAATATGTAACTAAATCACTACAACTATGTTACCACTCAAGCGTTGCACCTGTGCGACACCGCGGGAAAAAGCTACTTGATTTGTCAAGGTTATTTGTAACCTTATCTTCAACTGGAGAATCACAGTCGCAATCAAAACGCAATGCCTGATAATCTAATCTATATTTAATATTCAATAAAATAAAAATAAACGGTTCTTTGGGATTCACACTATTCATTGTAGTTTAAATCTTGCGTTCATGAAGTGCATTTTAATTTTACTGTCCTTGGAGCCTATTTCAACGAAGGTACAATATGGTGTCACCGGTCGCTAAGCAGGTAAATAAGGATTTATTATAACAATTGCAGCTATATTATGGTTGTAGCACGAATGGGTCGGCTCGACTGGGAAGGGACCACGCTCTGACAGAATACCAGCGTAAAAACAGCACGTTAATACCGCTGTGTTTCGTATGGTGAGTGTAGAAATCCGGAGAACCTTTTTTACTGGAAACGAGGCATTCCATATTAGTCCTCAGGGGTCAACGGCATTTGTGTTTTGATTCGTAATCGAGGATAGATGTAGATGTCTATGAGCCATAGCATCCACTTGCCATCAGGTGGACTGCGTGTTCGTTTGTCACCCTTATTCTACATAAAAAAGTGACTTCTATGTAGGTCTTGTCCGCCTTAACCTTTAGGATTTTAGGTGGTAGAACTTTTTTCCTCAGTCAGTTAGTCTCAGAAAGATCAGTGCGTGCAATATTGTGTTGTAGTCTGAAGAATATAGGGCGATATAATCACAGGCCATCTTATCTTAGTCTTCAGTGGTGACAGTGAGTTCCCTCGTTAGGGTTATCTGTTTTAAAATGTAAATTTTAAATATTGCAAACGGCCTGTTATTAAATCTTTAGAAAGATCATTAGGAAGATCAAATCATATTTACCCTGGTCACACACACACACACACACATGTGTGTGTGTGGTTGTGGGGAGAGTGTGTGTGTTTTTGGGTGTGTGTCAGAACTCTAGTGGCTGTGTGCTTGTTTGTCACCCGGGTAAATAAAAATATAATATTTTAATAAGAGGGGGTCGTTACACCATCATGCGTCTGCAGTTTCGCGAAGTAACTTATGTTAAGCTCCTGTGCAAAGATCTTGTTTCGCTCTATTGCCGCTTGTATCGCAATTGAACTAGAACTTGAACTAGAACGACCCAGGTCCCTGTTCCGATGGCGTTACTGTTATTAGCTCACGCCTTCTTTTCATAAGTTAAAGTGTCTCATCTGAAAACTTCGACTTTTGGTCCATACTTGCTTGACACAAAACCTGTTGCCCACATCTCTTAAGATCTTGACCACGCTGATGATTTCATGATACTCCGCCATGGTAAAGGCCATCTCCCTCCCAAAAGTAGAGCAGATGGCCCGATAGTAAACTCAAACTCAAACTAGGGTAAGTGTGTCCTCTCCCTCTCTTCGAACTTCACTTTACCCTACAATATACCATCTTATATTTTCCAGCTCACCTTCCAGTTCTTAAATGTTTCCGTCTTGCTGCAGTAATTTGTCCTTACCTGGTGATTCTTTGCACCCCGTACCCATCGTTGCCATGACCACCACCACGGCCAGGAATAATGGGGTGACCGGGAACTTGGGGCCGTATTTTTATGGTGCTCCGTCGAAGAACCAACGCTACTGATATAGCCTTCCGTGTTTGTAAACTGAAGTGGCAATCATATCTGTCGCAAAAGTGACAACTTTACCGTTTTATACGTGGTAGACCCATGCTGCAGTTATATTAGTAGTATAGTTGTAGCACAAATGGGTCGGCTCAACCGGGGAAGGACTCCGCTCTCACAGAATACCAGCGTGAAATAGTAGCTCAATGCTATGGTATGGTATGGTGAGTGTAGAGAACCGGAGACCCTTTTTACTGGGAACGAGGTATTCCATCTTAGTCCTCACGGGTGACAACTCATCTGTATTTTGTTTTGTAATCGAGGATACATGTAGATGTCTATGGGCCGCAGCAACCGCTTACCATCGGGTGGACTGTGTGCTCGTTTGTCACCCTATCCTATAAAAAAAACCGGTGGTATAGACGTGTTATTGAGTGGAAATCGCTTCTAGGCAAACGTAGTGTGGGGCGCCATCTGACCAGACGGAGCGACAATCGGTGAAGGTGGCTAGTCGAAACTGGATGCGTGTAGACGAAGATCGGGCTAAGTGGTGCGCCTTTATACCCAGCAGTGGATGCTGCCACAGGCTGGTAATGATGATGATGATGATACTTTAGAACTTGTAAAAGAATCAAGTCAGAACTTGGGTTTCTGACTAACACTAGAGTGTTCGAGTATTAGGCCAGTTACAGATCAATCAAAAAAACAAAAATTACCTTTTTGATTAATGCATGGCTTTTTGATATTTTTATTGGCTTGTTCTAGACATGGGCAATATCGGCAGTGCTCATCAATATGTTAGCCCAAGGCATGATGCTAAGCTACCCGTCCAGTTTACTGCCAGCGATCCGGGCTCCAGATTCCGACATAAAAGTGGATTTAAATACAGCATCTTGGCTAGGTATGAATGACTTTTTAACCAACTTAAAAAAGGAAGAAGTACTCAATTCGACTGAACTTTTATGTGTTTGTACCTCAGAACCTTTTTTCTAGATGAAGTGATTTTGACGATTCTTATTTTTTGAAAGTTGGTACTTCTCGTCTGGTCCCATATAAATTTAATGCAGATCTAATTAGTAGTTTTTACATTATTCTTAATAATGCGTTCTTCGAACTTAGTCAATGTAATCGACTTCGACTACATTGACTAAGTTCTCATTTTATTTATATTTAAGTCGTTTGTACAAAATTTTATTTTTACCACTTGTACCATGATAATGTGTTCTCCAGGCTAAAGGATAATTGAAAAGAGGGTGTAAAACTTTTCTGATTTACCATCGAAAAAGGAAAATACATCCTATAAATTAATTTAACAACCTCTAACAAAACGTAACAGCCTACATACGCCCCAGAGAAATGAGACGTTAATGAAATGGTTAGTCCACTGCGTTGCTCCAGTGCGGAAATCAGATTTCCTAAATATATTATTTCCTAAATATATTATTATTATATCAGCATTAAATATTTTGGAAAGTCTTTTGAAACCCAGAACTCAATTTCTATATATTAGATCTTTACCTATGAAATTGCGGTTTTTAGAAAATAAGTTAACGTAATTTTTTCTCTATTTCTAACTTATTACTATTATTCAAAGTAATTAACCTACATGGTTAATTACGCATCTTTATTGATGCCCTTCCTGAAGAAATCATCGGGACGGGACTTAACAAATTCTTCAAAAACATTTTGTACTGCCTCTTGGGTATTAAACTTTTTTCCTGCCAAAAATATATCGAATATATAAGCGAAGATCGCGGGCCGAAGTCGGGCAGGGCGAAGATAATAAAAATAAGCGAAGATCGCGGGCCGCCCGATAGAATTTGCTACGGGCTACATGCTTAATCCAGCACTGAATATGGTGCTAACATATGAAAGTAGTTATGTTGTACCAGTTCTGGCTCACTGAGTCAGAAGTGGTACGAGTACAACGTTCGTCGACTCACGATCCTAAAAAAAAAAAAGTTTTGGCATGCTCTGATCACGAATCTGCGGTCCGTTTTTGCGTAGGATGCACGGTTCCGGAGATGTGCAGATCAATTAACTCTTATCTAATTGATATCCGATGCGGGCCTCCGCCGTCATTAACGCTCCATTGTTCTTATCTATTGTTCATTGAATACCGTCATTATCTATTCGTGCGTCGGTTATCAGTGCTATCATATTATACTCCTTTGTTCCTAACTGCAACGGTAATCTGAATCATCAATAAAATACATTACCTAATTTTGTTACAATTTTTATTTACGAAATACATAATCTTATTAGTTATTATCTATAAAATAGGAGCGAAACATCTCATCGACTAAGATATCGTTGTACAATGTGTTCCCTGTAAATATACTCGTAAAACTATGCATTGAACATCCCTGAAACTTATATAGCAAATACATTAAGCAATATTCGCACAAACTGAAGTCCACTCATTCTGAATCCTATCAACATTCCAGTTCCATTTTTACAATTCCTTTTTAAAAACTCTAGATGATATCGTACAGGTGCTCGTCCGTATGAATCAAAATATTTACCGACGTCATTAGTATCGATATATAAAGCTACCCAATGTGACCGTGGTTTATCATCTGTATCCAAATTGCATATTATATACGTTGGTACGTGAGTGTACATGGGCAGTCTATTGGCAGCATAAACATTATTTTCTAGAGTGGGGTGAATCTTTTTCAGATGTTGTTATACATCTAGTGTATCCACGATATTACTGCTATTAGTAGATTATTACAGTACAATCTACTCTATCACTAACATAGGAATGATGAATTATAGTGATTTCTAAATATTAAATTGCATTATTTTGTGTTATACAAAACGTATTTGAGTCATCAATACACTGAACAAGACGACACGAAGTAATGCTGAGATAAGCAACAGAATGTGAGATAAGCTTGTTGGCGCATAAAGTTAATATCAATTCCACTGCAGAAATTACTTAGATTAGAATTATTACTTACTGGTACTATATAAGACCGCGCAACTGCAGTCATGGAGTTAGTGTATGGTTGTTTGACCGCAGTGGATCTATCAATACTACATTTGTGTTACTTCAACGCATCAAAGGCCATGGATGTAAGTGTTTATTCTTTTGATGAACTTGTTTTTCTTTCTGTTATTTTCTTACGTGTGTATGATTTAGTGTTAACAAATTATATTTAAATATTGTGCGTGTGTATATATGATTAAGCCGTGGTAGCTCAGATGGTTAGCGCAAGCTGTAAATTTCACAGTACGCGACCCGGGTTCGATCCCCGCCGGCACCAATTAAATTGTTAATTGCAATATTAAGTGTTTATTCTATTGACAAACTTAATTTTCTTTCTGTTATTTTCTTACGTGTGTATGATTTAGTGTTAACAAATTATATTTAAATATTGTGTGTGTGTGAAGCCGTGTGATGGGGTGTGTGGTTGTAATTGAATGTGTTATTCTTGACAAACTTAATTTTTTTGTATTGTGTGTATCAGTGATTAAGCCGTGGTAGCTCAGATGGTTAGCGCAAGCTGTAAATTTCACAGTACGCGACCCGGGTTAGATCCCTGCCGGCACCAATTAAATTGTTAATTGCAATTTTAAGTGTTTATTCTAACTTTTAATTTAATTTTGAATTTGGTTCAAAATGACACAAAATCTAAAAAATATTAGATACATCATCGACATGGACGGATTTTACATTACATATCCTCACAAATATTTTCAATGTAGAGAAATGGCTATTCTAGACGTAAAACTATCTAATAAAAATGATGCGTTTATCGATCATTATTTGTTTCGGCCAAGTTATCCTTTCAATTATTTGTCGCCAAAAGACAAAAAACTGTTCGTTATTGTGAAACACACGTGCACGGCATTCCATATTTTGATGTGAACGAAGAATTAAAATGTGCCTACAAACAAGAGAACATCATCCCCATATCATAAATTGGTATATTAGAAATTTGTGTAAAGACGAAGTGATCGCATACAAAGGTGGTTCAACAGAAAAACAATTTTTAAAAATGTTGACGACGAATGATAGAATTTTTAATATTGAAGAATACAAATGTCCAAAATACAATGATTTGGTAAATGTCATAAATTTAAATAAACGTTATGTTGTGTAATAATCAAAAATTTCCAAAAAACAATCAAATAATTTATTGTTTTGAGTTGGGTACAAGTGGTTATTGCTTGAAAATAAAATTTTAAATTAATCATAAATTTTGTTTGATTTCCCAAAAACATAGTTATAGTACACAATATATATTATTTGTTTACACCAACACTTTCATTTTTTGACAAAGTTCACCCCTTAGAACTTTAGACGTGTGTAATGTTTCACTTTATACATCCGTTTACTGCTATTGTGGCAGGACCAAGTGTATGTGGGAAGTCAAATTTTGTAACAAATTTCATAAAATCAGTTACAGAAATATGTAATTGTGATTTTAATCAGATCACATGGTGCTTTGATGAAATGCAACCTTTATGTAACTTACCAAATGTTAACTATCATCAAGGAATTCCAAATCTTAATATGTTTGATTGTGAAAACCCACATCTTGTTATTATTGGTGATCTAATGAGAGAGTCCGATGTAACTTTAAACTCGAACAGTGTTTTGTATTAGATTAAATAGAAGATTTATAAAGAAATAAAAAATAATATATTGCATACAATTTGTTTTATTTAATTTTATAACCTTTTCACATAGTTACGTACACACAAAATGCATTACACATAACACATAAAATCTAACACACAACACATATTATAACCTTAACTACTATAGTCTACAGTAACATTTCTGTTTTTATCTATCTCAATAATATTATCACACTGCGCATGAACTATGCAGTTAATTGTTTGTATTAGTGAGAATTCAAATCGTACTTCTAGTCTTACACTACCATGCTTTATGAGATTCCAATGAGCTGATGAGTTGGCTAATAAATCAGGAGTTAAGTCAAATGCTAATAGACAGTAACCTTTGGCATACTGTTCACAGGAGATTCCATTTCCTTCATTAAGAAAGTGAATACCAGTTCCCGAGAATAGAGTATGATATGCTGATGTAAATATACTATTATTAAAAGATGGTTGCAAAGCTTTTGAAGGTATTTGTTGACCATCAATATATAAGCTGAAGGAATTAATACCATAGTTTTCAAAGTTAAATGGATTTTTAGTAATGGAACCATTAAATGCAGAATTGTTTACAAATCCAATTATACATCTTTTGGGTACCTGTCCTAAAAATATATCATCAAGAGTTTTTCCTTGAACACCCGATGGTATTGTTAAAACTTTTACTTTAGCTCGAGTAATAGGATATTTAGCAGTGGTAGAAGCTAAAACTTTTTGATGAGCGAGTGACACTTGGATTAATTCCTGCTCGTTGAACAATAAGAGTTGCATTAGCAAACTTTAAACTTTACATCGTTTGACCCAGCAATTAAATTAAAACTCTCTCTTGATCGAACCAATTTAACACTCATTTCAACACCATTAATTAAAAATTTATCTTGGTTGAAAATGTCACCGTGAAGATGACCAATCATTTCTATTTCCTTAATGCAAACGAGGGTTAGGGCGTCCCCCCAAGGCGACGCACACCAGCTCGTCCCCGTTGGTGTGGAATGCAGCGCGCAAAGCGGCGATGGGGACAGCCACCCGTCACGCACAGCCCGACACGGCGAAAGGTGGAGGACGGAGTGCAGAGTTGGCACGTGGAATGTTAGAGGGGGTATGAGAGATAAGACGAATGAGTTGATCGAAATAATGAAAGAAAGAGAATTAGATGTTGTGTGTATGTCGGAGACCAAACGGAAAGGCAGTGGTATTGAAGAGCTCCCTGGCGGGACGTTAGCTATATGGTCCGGAGTCCCGGAAAGCGAGAACGCCTGCCAGGGA